GTAGGTAGCATAAGAATATTTTAATATAGTTGTTTCTCTGGGTGATAGAAAAAAACAGAACCAAAGAGTTAAAGGTCCTAGGTTTCAATTCTGCTGTTACCATTTATCGTAGAACCTTGATTATGTGATAGAACCACTTTATAATCCATGAAACCACATTATATTCTTGGGCTTGCTAGAAAAATGGGATCTGTAGAATGGGCATTAGTACCAGGTCTATGATTAAGTATCTATAGTCTTGTACATTTGAAAATATATTGTAGGACGTTAGCTGTTCTTTCATGCCTAAATAAAAAAAACCCTCTTTTGACATGAAATTCTCTTACGATACTAAACTCATATTTTGCCCAAGAGATAATAATTTTATTGTTGTTGTGTGCCGTCGAGGCCCTTGCAACTCATAGTGACCCTGTGTATAACAGCCCTAAACTCTACTCTATCCTGTGCCAGTCGCACTGTCTCCAATATACCCATCCCGATTACCCGAGTCACTGAATCATTCTACCTCATAGAGGGTCTCCACCTCCTGGGCTGCTCCTCCACCCTCCCAAGCATGATGTCCCTCTCCAAGGACCGGTCCCTCCTTACAACATTAGCTGAGCAAAATAATGTTTAGAATAAGAATTGTTTTAAACGGCCAGAGCTCTAAAAAAACCCCAGTCTTTGATTTAATTGAAAATATTTTGAAGAAACTGGTACAGTGGAATTTTATTTTGAATATAAATATTTCCTCTCCCATTATGCTCATTTAACTATATGACACTCCACTATAGTTAAGTCAGTTCCGACTCATACTCTGCAAATTAGAGTGAAATTGTCCCATAAGGTTTCCAGGGCTATATTCTTCATAGTAGCCAAAACCCTTCACTTTTCAGTTAATAACTAAGCAGTTAATCACTGTGCCACTAGAGCTCCTTCTTGTCTTTGTGTGTGTGTGTGTGTGTGTTTGTGTATGTGTACTATCAAATCAGATCTCACTGGCACAGAGGAGATTGTCCCTCCTCCAGCAGAGCATTTGGTGGATTCGAACCATGCACCTCTTGGATTGTAGTGCAGCTTCTTTCCACTAGTGCTCACCACTAGAGCTTCTGATGCATAAAAGCTACTAGACAAATCATGATCATTGAAAGATTTTTAGTAGGTTTGAAATTTTAAAAAATGTATGTGAAACCTATTAAATGAAGTAACCTTTAATAGTGTATGCTTTTAAGGTTGGTTTTGTGTTTGGTGGGTTTTGTGGGGGGTGTTTTGAAAGCCAGCGTTTTATCTTTTTTTCCCTATTTGATTAATGTTAACGAACATTTACAGAGATTTTGGATTTCCATTCATTCATTGTTGCACTTTTCCCCCTGTCCCCACTTCCCCTCCAGTTCACTACTCTCTTTGTAAAGTAAAAGAAAAATTTTTCATTGGTATACAAATCCCCTCCAACCCCCACTGCCCAGAGTACACTCCACTATGCAACCTTAATTCTGGACACTTGTGATAACCATAATACCCTATCATATATAGCATTTAAACTGTTCTCTCCCTCATCTGTTTCAATGCAGTATACATAATATATCCAGTCTTACCCCAACCCTGATGTCAGTCCCATTCTACAGCAATGGCACCATGCAGTATTTGTCCTTAGCATTTTATCTTAAATTCTCAAAACTCCACATATATGGGCCGGGGAAAGAACCACTTAAAAACTCAAGTTACACATCAGGTTCAAGTTTCTGCCTACCCCTAGAGATACAACTAAGCATTTCTGTTAAGCTAATTTGTAAGAAATGCTGGTTTTTCTTGTGTATGTCTTGAACATTTGTTTTGAATATTTACTAAAAAATTTGTGGATAATGAACCTGGGACTACTTAAAAGCCGGTAGTTTTACACAGAGGCTGTGCTTGAAAACGACATGCAACAAGTGTGGATTAATTTTTAAAAAAATACTAATTTGTTATGTAATAATTTGTGTCGTAATTCCATTTTGAACCCAGAGATGTTAGTATCTGCTAAAAAATTAAGCAAACTAGAAACTTACTTATTTTTGTCACCCTACTCTCTAGTTTCCTGTTCTCATTCACTCACAGCTGTGGCTTCAGAACTGACTCATAGCTGACTCTCCACCAAGTTTCTAAATCTAAATTTCACAGGAGATTGTATATCTTTGTTTCTTGAAGCCACTGGTGGATTTGAACTGCCAGAGAGGTGCAGCCTTAGATTAGCAGCACAATTCCCTATACCACCAAAATTCCCTAACTAACTCCATTAGTGGTGTCAGGTTAAAAGGTAGCAGTATTCTGTTGACTATTTTGAAAGAATAACTTACAAACCACCATAGTGGTATTACTGGAAATAAAAAATACTGTCAGTTTTACGTGGAAAGATAATACTTACAGGGGCAGTTCTTATAAGCTGTTAGTTTAAAAGAGAAAATTAAGGCTTGTAAGAATATAAAAAGAACCTAACATTAGTCACTTTGCAGAATTTGGGATAAAATTTATTTATTCTGTGAATAATAAACCTAATACCATTAATGGTAAAGCCATTAGCCTTGAACAGAGATTGTGCTTACAAACTACATGAAAAGGGGAATAAATAATTTTATTGAATAAATGGATAGTTTTCACATGAACTTTGAACACCTAATAAGAACTGATCTTACCTCACTCTATTTTTTGATACCTCACTTTTAAAAATGTAGGCATCTTCGTAATTTCTCTTTGTTCTTCCCTGTCCTGTTTAGCTGAGAGGAATATACCAAAACCTCCCTATCTCTTTGCTAGTATTTTTTGCCACCTTCTATCTCTCTCCACTTACAGTCACAAGATAGCTACTTCCCAGTGAGTAGTTAAGGTATCAGTTATAAAATTCTTGTCATTTGTAAATAAAAAAAAAAAAACTAAGTTTGAGTAAGGATGGCAATGGAAAGCCACCTTACCTCTGTAACTTGATTTGTGCCACTATTAGAACCTCTACTCAGAATATTATTGCTTTTCAATTTTTGACTCATGCATTTTTACCTTGTTAAATTTGTATCTTCTAGGCTGCAACACTTCCATGATACATCTTCAAGGATATGAACATGTACGGCTAAGCACAATTGATAACAGTGCATCTA